ACCCCACATACTTGCAGTTGTTGCCCGTTCGCCACTGTCACCGTCATTGGGACGTCTATCTGCCGATATTCACAGAACTCATCTCGTGCAAAGCTCATGTGCGAGCTGGCGCCACTATCCAGCAGCCAACTGGATGCACATTTGCTATCATTGACCGAAAATACGACTTCTCCCGAGTCATCACCAAAATCATTGCGTTGTTGAGGGCAGTCAACACGCTTATGACCAACCTCGTTGCACTCGAAGCATCGCCCGCTGAAGAACGTGTTATTCCGTTGATGCACACGCTGCTGGCTACGCCTCTGACCTGTCCACGACCTCCTTGGTCTCGAGCACCACCGCGATACTCCAAGCCATTACGACTGCGATCCTTGCGCGCGTCCTGCGCAACCGCTTTAAACGCTCCTTCTTGTTTCTCTCGTTTCTTCATAGCTTCATACTCTCGTCGTAGCATCTCCTTCGCATCTAGCAACGTCACAGACCCGTGGGCCTCGATGATTTTGATCATCCCGTCATATTCTGCAGGCAAACTCCCCAACAGAGTAACTTGTTTCTCGTCGTCTGTCACCGTCTCGCCGGTCCGCCTCAAGAAGAGGTCCTCGAAACGCATCAAATGGTCCATCAAATTCTCACCGGGGGGCATCTCGAAATCATGTAGCTGTTTGCTCAGCTGTACGCGGTTATGTAGATTCTTCTGCACGAAGAATGTCTGTAGCGTCTCCCAAGCTTCACGGGCTGATCTCGACTCTCTCACCATTGTTTGGTACTTGGGGCTGAACAACTGAACCAGAATGCCCAGGGCCTTCATGTCGGAGGCTTCCTACTCTGCCGAGCGTGGCTCCATCGCGTTCTCCGACTTGACTTGCACATGACCGAGGAGGTTCTTGCGCGCCAACGCCATCCTAGCGTTGAACTCCCACAGGAAGTAGCTATCGTCTTGTAGGACATCATTCGGGCCGAGCGATTTTGGGCTCATAATCCTAAACAATGTACGTCAATCTCAATCTCAACTTGTTCTCGCGATGGTAAAATGGAAAA